CTAAAGCAAATGAGTGAAATAAATTTATATTTTATCGAATTCCAAATCACACTTTGATTGAAAACCTCTTAAAAAAGTATACTTATAACGATAAATATTTTTCAAACGATTATAGTCAGAATATTATTTTAGCAAGCTGTTTTCAAAAAATATAAACAGTTCTAAAATAAAGTTGTGTTTTATAGAAGAAGAAAAATGAATGTATAAATAATTCATATACAATCTGGTACGATAAATCGTAATTAATTCACTATTCTTGTAGAATTGTATTATTCTAGTCGAATCAAAATACATTCAATTTTATTGTATTGCGTTTTACTTGTTTTACTTTTATTTGAATTTCAATGTATTTTTGTTTGGAGTTCAATATTTGTGTTCATAATATTTATCACTGTTTAAACATTTTAAATGATATCTATATATGACTACTACACTTAGACAAATAATACATTACTGTAAATATTAAATACACTATAATTTCCGATGAAAACTATACATGTTAGAATTGTGAAGACGTTTAATTTGTGTTATTATGTAATTTGATAAAATCATGTTGTTTTAAATAATATAGAATATTAAAATAAAAAATTGTGTTTAACAAATAATGTCGAATAAATAACTTAAACTTGAAATACTGTAGAATATAAATGCTTAAATTTTAATTTTTAATTAACTTTATGATTACAAAGCCTTAACATTAATAATATTTTCAGATTAACCATTGATTATAAACTTATAACTTACAAGTTACAATACTATTAAATTGTAATACAATTGCTTTATACTACTTAAAGCTTTTATTGAAAACACCGATTTTGAATTTAAGTACCATGAGCTAAGATTAGGGATACCTTAAAGCATAGATTCTTAACTTTTCTGGTCCATGGACCCCTTTGAAGTATAAAATATAATCACAGACCCCCTCCCAGAAAAAAAATAATAAGTTTGTAAATACGCCACTGATTTTATATATTTTAATGTTAATAGTTTGATATTGTTTTTAAATTGTTATTATACCTACACAATCACATATTTATGTGTTATAATTGTTTCTATTTAGTTATACATTTTAAAAACAATCAAGGTAAAAATAATTTAATTTTTTTTTTTCTTAAAACAATAAAAGTTTGTTTGATTGTAATTCATAGTTATATAAAATAGAAACTATAATTAGTGTATGTGGCATAAAGGTTGCTCCGAGATTTTTAGAAAGCACCCAACTGTGCTGCGGGCAATATGAGTTCGAAATCCACACATAGACATAGAACACTGCAGAAAACGTAAACATTAAACAGCACTGTGCACTTAAACTCGTAATGTGATGAAAATTGTTCCATAAATACATTTTTACATTAATATTTCACCAGAAAGTGTTTTCTTTGACAAAATAACGATACACACTGCAGCGAGTACGTTATCAAAACAATTTAAGTCGATATTTATTTTAGGATTCAAACATTGGTAAAAACGTTAAAGCCGATTCGTCTATGCTTAACACATGTCGGAGTTATTACTATTATGTACGTTGCATGTTGTATGTACGTAAATGTGTTTTCACGAGGCTATAATATAGTATAAAAACAGAACGATATAAGTTTCGTTTGTCGTCGATGGTGTACAGTCTTCAAAATCGAACTTTTTTTGGAATGAACATGAACCCGAAAGTCCATCGTCGTCGACGTGGCATAAATTATAATATCTCTGAGTAGATTTTGATGAGCTTAGTATACTTAATGTTTTTATTAAGTTTATATCACATAACCAGAATCCAACATAATTTGCTGTCACAAAATTCTGCGACATCAACAACACGAAAACTGATATGAAGCAATGCGCAACTAGTAATAAAGAAAGTACAAATTAAATTCTTCTATCACATGAATATGATAAAAAAATTATTTATTTTATAAATTGATGTTTCACTATAGGTGCGGTTTGTTCAGAATTGAGAAATTTTGGTGCTTAATGATGTACCTACGATTATAGGTGTAGGATGCAAACACGTTCCTGACGAGAGAGCCCATAAATCTTTTTTTTTCATTACTAGATAAATGGAAAACTACAATGAACAGCAAGTCAATCTTTTAATTTATGATAACAGAAATCGAATTTTAATTTTCGCTATAGATGAAGGAGTTTTTTCTTATTTTCTCTTCATCAAATACGTGTATGGTTCATAAATAGCACATTTAATGTTCCAGTACACTCAATTATACAATGTACGAGCAGAATTTGAAAGAAATGGCAGGACTTGTGTTTATGTCTTATTTTCAGATAAATTGGCAGATACGTATCGTAAAATTTTATTGGATCTCGTTGTAGCATCTGTTCAAACCTCAACTACCCTTAAGTGTTAGCGAATCATTATACATTATGAGTTAGACGTACCTAAATGTAATAAATCGAAATTTTAATGGAATCTAGAATCTAGATACAAGTTTGCTTCTTTATCTTACGCCAGTCAAATTATATCATAAAATATAAATAAAATTATGATATTAAATTCAGCAATGTGGATTAGCATAATTGTACAAAGAATATTAACGGATTACCATAGAGCGTAAAAAATGAATTCATTAGTGTTTTTACTTATCAACGATATTTTGGTCTAAATTAGTCATACGTATACAACATTTTTACTCGGAGTTACTACCTCTTATTTCATACTTTTACAGAACATATAATACTAATGATAATAACAAAAACGTACGGTACCCTCTTTCTGTTTGGAATGTAATATGTCAATAATCTCATTTCATCGAACGAATAATTTCAGAAAAGGGTGAAATAATTCGTTCAATAAATTAGTAGGAATAACTAATTCGAATATTTGAACAGTTTTGCGAGCAATACAATTAGACGAATATGGCAATAGCAGACTTCAAAAAGACAAAAAAATCCAGTGCTGGTGATGATTATATGTAAATAGTATGTAACCAATATTAAAAAAAAAAAAAAATAAAAAAATAAATAAATAAATTAATTAATTAACCAATTTTGAATTTTAAAATTCCATCTATCATAGGTACGTGTAGATTTTTTTTCATTATTATTTTTTTATTTATATTTATTTTTACATATTTTTAATTTACCTTTTAGCACGACTTTCGATAATATGGTAGGTAGTAAATTAAAAACAAACTTTGGTTATTTTGACTTGTCAGTGGTTTACTATATTTCATAACATTTTTATCGACTTTTTTACTTTATTTTAATATTTACATTTTAATAATTGACATCATATACACTCGTTATTTAAGTATACAACTTATATTTACAGTACACGCTTTATTTATATAATAATACCAAGTGTCCTAATTTTGAAATGAACATTTTCATCCGACCGTGCAAAGTGTTCGCATTATGTAGTTCAAACAATGGACCGTATAAACTGACTGTTTTCCGCTGTAGCAAACGAATATTATGTTCAACATGCAGTCGTTCTTTACCAGGTTTTCTCAACGATTTTGTAACATGTGATCCTTTATGTTTACTGTTTACATACACAGTTTTTTTTCAACCTCTTTTAAAATTAAATTCCAAGTGATAGTATTACAATATTTTCAATCACTATGACTAATACCAATGACCGCACTTGGTTTTGCTGTTAAATACAGTTCCGTACCACTTGGGTCTATAAATATCGGGTATCCCGGTATATTCATGGCACTTACATATTATGGCGTGTAGGACTCGTCGTAATGCAGTTTACAATATTGCTACTAAAAAGTAAGTGGGATAACTTTTCGTCTGTTGTCTACAAGTCATTATATATATATATATATATATATATATATATGTATAAATACACACCATGATGTACATTGTACTTGTAATTATTAGAAAAAAATAAATAGTTTAGGCACATAAAAGTGATTCATAGAGTTTTTTTCAACTACAATTGATCATAGGCAGTCAGAGTAAAAAAAATAATATTTTTCTGGCCATCCGTTGGAACAACAGTACTCGTAACCTATCCATAAGGTTTCAGTGCAAAACTATTCAACACGATTGCCGTAGTGTTTTATCGCCGACACCCGTTTATACATTACGTACATCATCGATCTACTTACATTTTATCACGCGTTGCGTGCGGTCTCCCGAGAGATCGCCGGCGAGCGTGATCGTTATATAAAATAATAAAGTAGTCCAATAAAAAATGATTTATGTACACAGACACCCGCCGTTTATAATACGCCTTACACGTTTTTTTATTAATATATTATAATGACTAGGCGGTCGATGTTTTTTTTTTTAAATTACGCTTATTTAATCCCTTGTGGATTTAGCGCACAGAGAGAGAGAGAAAAAAAAGTGCTAGAATAACAACCGCTAATATGTAACATTATATAATGTTTATGTACGGACACATGTGTCGCCGCTATTTGGGGTACGTACGTATGATATAAAATAATATGATATTGCGGGTATCGGGTGCGCAGCCGCGAGGGGGATGGGCCAAATGAAAACAAGAGTGCTTACGAGCGAACATAATAGGTAGTCCGTTTATTTTTCATAATTTATTACTGTACATGTGGTAGTAATTTACAACGAACATAATATAATAATATCATATATTATCATAGTTTATTTACACATATAGCAATACTTACGAGTACCGAACAAACAATAAAAACCGACCTAATCCTACGATGATAATCTATAGTACAATATAATATGTATGTGTAGGTACACGCCTATATTAAAATGTTATAATTATAATATATTTGTAGTACGTATGGGAAACAAAAAAAATAAATACCGATTCGACTATGCGGCGTGATAGTGTTTATAGTTCACAAACCGCAGCTAAATCGATATTTTGACGATACAATAACGTAGGTACAATAATATAATATAATTTATGGTTTAAATGCATCAAATGTTTTTGATATTTTGTTGTTGGTTAAAAGCCAAAAATCATAAAAAAAAAAAAAAGAACACGATTAATGAACAATATAATATTATATCTAACAATAATAATGAGTATAAAAATAGTAATATTTTATATTAAATTGATATTATATTGCAAAATGTAATAATTGAGGGGCATTCGCAGATCGGATATGTGATAAAATCAAACAAAAAAACTGTTTCGATAATACTTCTGCCCGAATTGGCCAAAGTGTGTGTAATAATAATAATATTAATAATAATTCTAATAATAATAATATAAACAATAAACATAAAAACAGATTAACGAAACAACAATAATATAAAATATACATATATTATTTCATGAGTTTACACGAGATGTATTGACAATGCATACTGCAGAGTGATTCAGGTTATTCCGTACAAACTTAGATAATGATTTCATGTCAATTGAGCGCAATCGAAAACCTTCTCTGTGTTACGTGAATAACGTAGGATTCTAAAAGGTACCGAGTGTATTTTTCTAACTTATTCAATTTCAAACTAACTTGTCGTAAAATATTACATACGAATTGTTGTTCTCAAAACCCTTATATTTTGGGTAAGTATATGTCATGAGCATTTTTAAGATTTCTGGCACCGGAATGGTACGCGATACCGTAAAATATCAAAAACCAAGTTATTAATAAAAAATTGAGGTATTGGGTTTACAATAAGGGGGTTTGATTTCAAATCGAAATAAAAATTAAATATTACGAGTATGTACTTATAAATTAAAAAAAAATGATAAATTATTAAATTGTTATTTTAATAAAAAATAATTTCTATCGGATAATTAGAAGGCACCCTCAAAACCCACGTAGACACATATGAATCAAACACTTGATTTCGAATTCACTCTCCGACAGGATATCATACTCAAAGCTTGTATGGATCCACACACAGATGAAACACCCTGTAATAATATAGGTAACCTTAAGGTTCGGCTCGAAAAGTAACCGATACGTTTTGTAAGGCCCGGCCGGATTTTTTTACTACTTACATGACATATTGGTACATAACATATCGTCAGTACGGTAACAACACTATTAAATTACGCGGATACACAATAATATATATTATACTTTTGTACGTGTCGATCGCTCGACTGTTGCGGAAACGGTTCACCGGATCACCGCGAATGACCGTTTCCGTTGTTGTTCAATACATTATATCAATATTATATGTTATGATAACAAGAATAAGACGTACAATTTGCAATAGTTTACACATAAGTACCAAATATACATACTATCATACAGATTTGCGGGGGCGGGCGCAGAAGAGGTGTACGGAAAACATTAGCTATATATAATATGACATCGCGCGACGACGTGACAATATCATTACACGCGAAAACATAACACAATACAAGTATATAATGAGACGTGGTGGGTGCAGAGTGGTTATTCACGGCTTTACCGGTAATATCGATACAACATTGAATAGGTATACCGCGAATACTCGGCAAACGGTTATGTGACGTAAGAGAAGTGCGCGAGACAGGACCACCGCACATGTTATCATAACGACGTTTTAAAGATTAGAGCACATATCACAGTGGTCGCCGTCTGTTGGATTCACTTCTCTTTTTTTTTTTTTTGGGGGGGGGGGAGATCATAGTAATCGAGTACATTAACCGAACAAGTCGACGAGTTGAAAGTTCCGAGGATAAAAATTGTAATGCATTGTAATAAAACAAAACGAAAAAATAAATAAATCTGGATATGTACCGAAAAATGTTCGTCGTTGCGTATTTGAAAATAACCGAACACGCGTATACGTTGTCGTTTATGAACACACGTTTATAACGATAAAAATATAAAATAGATATATGTATTTCAAAACCTCTGCAAGTACTCGTCGTCGTCGAAAGATGTGCGTTAAAACGGTCGGAAAAAATGGACTAGAAATTTAAGACCCCCCCCCCCCCCGTTAAGACGTACACACTGACCACCACACTCCCCACACACACCCACACACGCGTCAATCCGTGCAGCAGCAGCAGCAGCAGCAGCAGTGATGTGGCCAGTACCTGACACCACGGGCCGGCGACTGCGGTACCGTATATTATGTATCGTTACTGCCGGCGCCGCGAACTCGTTTCCGGTTTTACGGCGACTTCCTCTCGCGACTACATCGCACGCGTAACTATTATTATATATTATTATATTATTATCGTCATCATTAAATATTATATTGTTTTGAGATCTCGCCGGCGGCCGCCGTGGACGACGGCAGCGGTCGCTTTTCGCGTTGCGATCCGTATTGCATATCATCATAATTATATAAAATAGGAACGGGAACGGGCGCGGGCCATTACGACGGCGGGTGGTGGCCGCCGATGGTGGAGTGGTGCGCGCCCAGGTGATGGAAGTACGCGGCGGCCGCGGCGGCCGAGTAGCTCTGCGTCTGGTAGTGGTGCGCGGCCGAATAGGCGAGCGGGTGGAAGAACGGCGGGCCGCCGGTGGCCGACGACCCGGCCGGCCCGGGCGGCGGCACCGTCGGGCTGTTCACGTCCAGCCCGGGGTTCTGCTTCTTCCACTTGGTCCGCCTGTTCTGGAACCATATCTTCACCTGGGTCTCGGTGAGCGACAGCGACAGCGCCAGGTTCAGCCGCTCGCACACCGACAGGTACCGCGTCGTCTTGAACTTGTTCTCGAGCGCCACCAGCTGTTCGTACGTGAACGCCGTCCGGGCGCGCCGCGGTTTGCCGCTGCCTCCGTTTTTCGAACCGCCGCAGTGGTCGGAGGAGGACTTGGACTTTTTCGAGCCGCCTCCGACGCAACCGCCGCCGCCACCGCCGCCGCCGCGCCCTCCTGCCGACGCTCGTCGACGACTCCGTCGCCGCTGACCTTGTCCTGGTCGTCGCTCGTCGCTGCTGCACCTCGTCGCCGCTAACGCTGATGTCCTCATCGTCCTCAGTCGGCATCATGAATTCCGGCAACATTCTCGCCTGCGAACAACAAACAGTCGAACACCACTAGATTAGTATGATTATTATTATTGTAGTACCTACGAAGAACTTGTGTGTGCGTAAACGATTATCGTTACATAAAAATTAGTCGTATAGTTTATGGTCACGGCTCCGATCGGGGGGTGGGAGGGAGGGGGGGGGGGGAGACGCGACGATTCGGAAAATTTCGCGAAACCGTGAAGTTATCAATAGACAAAAACTTGTATATCGTTAATTTGATATAAATATCTTGTTCGATATGATTTCAAATATTTCAAACGAAGCGTAATATTTTCATTTAGGTAGTAATAATATTATTTATAAATTATAAAATATATTTATAAATTTGGTAGATTAACTAAATACGACAACAGCAAGAAATTACGCGATAACGTCCACCGACGGAAAAACCCTCTGTTAATATTATACGTTTTATTCATATACGATTTCTTGCGATTTTTTTATGCGGCGTTGCCCATTTATGTTTGTTTGCTCTCGCGGTTTGTATGCGCTTTTAATTTAAAACGCGTTGTAAAGCAAATATAATTATTTAAAAATAAAAAGATCTAAAATTCGAGAGCCCACCAACGATGTGTATATTTTATCGTAATATATTTTAAGTATTATAATTGAACATTTTAATCTATTATACACATATACGGTATTATGGTGTATAAAGTATTTTTAATTTTTTTTTTTATTGTTATTCAACAACGGCAAGTGGCATTAGTATAATTAAAACATGTTGGTATCTTTTTGAAAAAAAAAATAAAATATAAAGTTTAAGCTTTCACGATTTACGAGTACACTGCCGTTGTCATACGAAAAAATACGGTGTTTTGGTATCATTTTGTCAATCTCGCGCAACCGGCTCGATCACGCTATTATAACGCGAATTTACACTTATTTCCGTCCCGGCGTGAAGGTTTAAATGTTTAATAAGACGTATCACCAGTCTTTTGATTTCGTTTTTTCGATGCATCAAAATGACGTAGTTAGTGATATAATACATTTAAAACAGTCGTACTCTACACGGGTGGCCGTGACACCTGAACCGACAAAATATTCGAATCGTCTAAAACCATCTCAAATACATGATTTTAGATTTAATATTATTGTGTAAATTATATGCGCGAATTTAACTATAATATGTTAGTTCATAATAATATAATAACAGCCAATCATATAATATGTGTATTGATCCCACCATTCACAGGCCCAACTATTTTTCTTATTTATTTTTTGTTTTGCAACAATAATACTACGGCCACACGGCGTTGTCGATAGACTATTTAAATACAAGACAATCGCATATTTTTCCGGTTACGGAGTGGACTGTTACAATAAACGGATTAAAATTTCGAATGAAATAGCTATTGATCATTCCGATAATAGTGACGGTTACCAATAATATATGTCAGTTAATCAATAGCTGTAGGTATGATATTTTCCCGCGTGTATAACTTTCTCGGACGACAATAAAATTATGAATAGGTAGTAATTATTTTAAATCTATAAAATATACAAAATAATGTTTAGATATATTTACAACGACACTATAGCTGAAACTTTTCCCTGGAAAACACGAAAAATCATAAAATGTGTTGCTACACGTGATGTTATGATATGTACTCGGTTTTAGTGTATCTCAATCCACGGAAAAATTGGCATCGGTGTGTCTAAATAGCTTTGTGATAATTTTGTGTCAACAGGGAGAGTGCGGTTCCGGACGTCGGGCGAATATCTATTCTAACAGATGCACGACGTTTTTATTACAACAATAGGTATACAATATCTCATGTGCGTAGTACAATACTCTGTTAATATATTATATTGTGTCGTGTTCCGAAAATTGAAGAACGCTTGCATAAATACCTCAGAGACTTGGGAAAAAGAACGGTACGGCCGCGGCGTGGATGACGTGCCATCAACCACCGGAGTTGTATCCGTCGTGTGCAGTTAAACTACATATCGGGCAAATAATGTAAGAATGGGGATTTTATTTTTATACTTACAATGTCGTTCACCGCAAAACACCGCGTTTCTGCGGTCCGTGTACAAGTGTGCAACATTTTATACCCACCGCCAAGGCGTGTTTATACGAAGTCGGTTGCGCTTCCGGAGGGGTAACTTTTTTTGTTTTCAAAGAATCGCCGCGCGACGCGTACTATATTATTGTAACTACGCAGTTTCTCCGCCATTGCGCGCCGACGTTATAAGGGTCGTGTTTGAATGAATCTTAAAAGAGACGTCGAAACGTCGTTCCGACGACAGCGATGACTAATTTATTGAGTTGCCTTTATTTTTTTTTTTTATACATTTATTTTATAAACACCTACGTGATTCAAACGACCGATAAAGTTTACGCGTTTTCGTCGAATACAGGTTTATCATGAGCACCGTTTTTTTTTCTACTTTTTTTAATGATTACCGAATAAGGAAATATCTCGCCGCAGCGTGAAACTATTTTTTAGTTTCTCCGACTGATTTTCTTTTATGCAGAAAGTCATAAAATATTCCATTAAAAATTCAAACGACTCAACTAGATTATTATTTGTACTTACACAATCCAATTTCATTTTCCTGGAAAACAAATGGCATTCGTTATTTGTACAAGTTAACGCAAAGCGTTCCTATCCACGGGGTTTGTATAATAGGTATAATAATATTTATTTTGATAAATTAAGTTTATTGCAATGAATTGTGTACAGTATTTTACTTCCATTTTCAGTGTAAAAATATAAAACTAATTTGAAACTGTAAGGAGTGTCGGCTGTAAAAGCGAACATACTACAGCGATTGCAGGCTAAATACCGTTCTCGTGACTGATGATAATAATATTTATACAATATGCATGTAAATTAGTACACAATATAATATTGTTTTGTGTATGATTTGTTTTTTATTAATTTTCCGACCGTCCGTATAATAATATGGTGAATATAATAGGCACACACCGTGTCCAACTGTTGAATATAATTAATTAGTTCTCTCATTCCGTCGATTTTACGTATAACGAAATCAAACATTTGTTTACCAGGGTCGGTACCAAACAATAGTTTGGTCCGCTAATTCGCTATGTACGTCATACGTCATCGCTATATTGGATTAAATACGCCGGAAAAATGTCAAGACGAGATCGGGTCCGTATTTATATTATCTGTGGGTACACACATAATGTGTGTGTGTCCCGAAAATAATGACGTCACGTAATAATGACAATAATAATAAACCGTTGTTGTGATTATAAACCGATGGGAAACCATTGCCGACCGATTGCGCGCACAACGGCTAAATCAATAATATTATATTCACTCGCCACAGGACAATGCGCATAATAAAAAGGGATCATAGATATTTATCGAAACGGCATACCGAAGATACATCCTAATAATATTATAATTACGCATATTTTGCAGGTTTACTGTGCACAGATGTGATTTAACAACGGTATACGTAACTATCGCGCGCCGTATCCGAAGTGACATAGAGAAAAGGATTCTGTGTGACGGTATAATATTATATAACAGAGTTATACTCCTTCCCTCTGACTACGCCCACTCGTCGTAACGGTAGAGCCTATATAAAATATAAACGATTATAATAATATATTACAGTAATGACACGTCGCGGCGATACGGTCGGATGGAAACGGTCGCTAAGGTAACGTCGTCGTCGTCGTCGTCTCACATAATAATGTATATATAGCATACAGTATACACCTTAGGGTAATCGTATGTACAGAGTGACTCGCCTAATATGCTGGGTCCTAACCCTCTTTTTATTTTTAATAATGCAGTTTTTCAAACTCTGATTTTTATTACACTTATAATAGGATCCTATTTTCATATTTTACTTAAATGATTTTTTTTATAAGATATTTAAAAAAGTGCCTCGCGTTATTTCCTTCAAACGAGAACTTTTTTTTTTATTATTTTAAATTGCTTAGCAGATGATTGTTTTGAAAATGTACATGTATTTAAATCGAAATTTGAACGAGTAGTTTCTGAGTTATTAAATTTAATGTATCTACTAATAGTAATATTGTATTTAACTATTTTGGTTTTACACAAACTTTAAAATTAGTATAAAACTCGTATTTAGAGTACCTATCTAAAAATTATTACACTCACTGATATTAATAATTGTTGCTAATATATGCTTATAACTTTATAAGTAACGTTTTACATTGAATTGGCTCTTTCAAATTTATTCGGCCCAAAAAAAACCTAGTCCGACAATGGTCAACAGATTTTGTATACTTCACTACGCAAGGCTCGTCATCTTAGCATCTGAAGAAATACCTGACACTGAACCAGAAACCGATATTCAATCCTTCCCAATCCACTCGGTCGTTTGATTATCAGAATTTGTTAAAGTAACAAAAAGTTCGGAACCAACGACGACGGCCGTAGGGTTCATTGGCGGTTCCGTTGACTACCACGGATTTAGTCATATTTTTAATTTTGATCCTAACCTTGAATGTTAAGCTAATGATCTATAGTTTCGAGTAAGTGCACATGCATGAGTATTATGCGTGTGCTCGAGAAATAGTTTAAGGGTAGTATCGTATATTAAGACGTATTCCTGTCTTCTCACGTTGGGTAAACAGTATACACTCGCACATGTCGAAATTTAATGTTCTCGTATATAACACCACGACCGTCTAGTTGGAGCTGCCAACACGTCGAATTTTATTGTTATTATCATTATCATTATCATAACGCATATTATACTCGTAAATCGTAGTGTATATTTCTGAAATATTATACGACGTATTGCGATACGGTATACGATATTTTAATATGTAGGTATATACCCGGACGGTATTTGGGCTACCGGTATACTTGATACTTGCTGCAGCCTCGACAGGAATCTACTTTACTCATCCAATGAGAAAATACTGTAAAAAACCTTAACTCATCTCGAAATGATATTATTTTACCGGCCGTCCGTTTAG